CTATCACTGAAGCATAAGTAGTATTATTTAATCTGACATGTATACTGTGGTAGCTGAAAATAAGAATATGGGCTTTCTGTATGGAAGGGAATCTCTAAATACCTGGAGCTAAGCATATGTAGTTGTTTGTGAGAGTGCACTTGTGCATGTAAAGGTTATGGAAAAATGTTTAATAGTGTTGGGGCCAACCCAGGAAATCTGACCCCCCACACCATGGGAGGAGCAGAGACGGCCCCGAGGAAAACCCCCAGCCACTGCAATGCTGGATCCCCCAGGAGCTGCGGGGGCGAGTCTGCTCGGGCATCCACCCCCAAACACCAAGCACCCCAGTGCACCGATGAGCCCAGGCGCCAGCCTTGAGGCTGTGACTTGAGATATTCTTGGGAGAGGGAGCAGTTAAGGTTAGGGAAACTGACAAGTAAAAAAAATAAAAATAAAAATAAATAAAAAAATAAAAATATATAGATATATATACAAAGTCTCAATCACGCCTTCCCACCCTAGTGGGAATCCGGATAGGTGGGAGGGCAGCGGTGTCACCGCCACTCTAACCCATCTAGTTCATGCTTCGGTCCCGGTCCCCCAGTAAAAGCCCCCCGGGGATGGGGCCAACGTGTCCCGCAGAGGCCACCCAACCAGATCCTCCAGAAATAGAGGTATTTTGAATTTATAGCCCCCCCGGAGAAAACCCCACCAGCCCCAACTGCTAAAGAGTAAAGTAATTCTTTCATTTCCGTGTTCCTACTGTAGTTTTCCTCAGGAAGAATATTTTCATTTACTTCATGTAGGTAAATCTTTCAACTGATTTGCCAGCAGTCAAATGTCTTATGGAAAAGCAATGACGAGATGGGCGTCATTGTTGATCTTGAGTCTATTTCAAAGGCAAATCATTACACTGAAACATAGGACTTAAAATAACCAGCTGTCTACTTGGACTTTGTCAGCTTATCAATGATCCACAATACTTGAGGATTTAAAAAAGCAACGTTTCAAGACAGGTACTTTAACTGCTTACTCATTTTACCACATAAAATGGAAATAATGTTTAGTGTTTACTCTCTGCTCATGTCAGTTATTTGTGTTTTTGCTCTTTAGCAAAAGAAACCTGAAAGCACATAAATAAACTAAATTACTTTTCCCACAAGATCTAAAATATTTTGGTTGTAAAAAGAAAAAGAAAACAAAAGCTCTTTAAAAATGAAGAATAGCCTCCTTGGACAACTTATTCTGCTCGCCTTCATAAGCATAATGGCATCTGGGTCGAGACAATACTTTGTCTTCAACCATGGGTTGAAATGGAACGAAGCAAAACTCTACTGCGAGAGGTAAGATGTTTAACCTTGTTCGGTGAAAGTATGGATGGATTAATTATGAATATGTACATTTGGTTAAAAATTGTAGATAGTTTAATGTTGCTTTGTTAAAAGAAAAGCATTATGGGAGTTTAGAAAATATAACAAAACACTGAGCCAGCTAGGAAAGAACAGCTAGAAGAAGAAAGGTGAAACAATTTAGATGTAAAATGTAATATTGTACCTAGCAGTGTTATCTAATGGAAGAATTAATTAGATAACCTTGGTTTTCTTGTCTTTATAATTTGTTATCTTTAGTTAATATAGAACAAGAAACTGAAAAAAGAAACAAGCTTGCTCTGATATTTTGGTCTGACAGTAGCTTATTGTCGTCATAAGCAACTAAATAGTGACATTTCAGTACACTGAAAAAAACAGCTAATTAGATTTACTTAAAAAAATATATTGTAAGTATTTGCATGCAAAGGATTTGAGTAAAATTTACTGCTGCAATGTCAAGTAACAATCACTTGCCAGTATCAAGTGAATTTTACTTCACTTTCCATAAGTCAAAACAGTTGTGAGGATATTAAATAGCATTTACTTAATTACATCGAAGATTTAAGTTAGATTAATTTAAACAAATGAAGTAAAATGAACTGCTTTTCATAGGCACAAACAGCATTTTACTCAAAATCTTAAAGCAACACAAAAACAAACAACCATTCACGCACGCACTCACACCTAAGGAGAAATAAGGGAAGCCAATTAACCAAGCAATTATGTTTTTGGACTGTTGGAGGAAGATGGAATAGAGAACTCATGCATGCAGAGGGAGAACATGCAAACTCCATGCAGAAAGACCCAGGGAATCAAACACAGAACCTTCTTGCTGCGAGGCGGCAGTGCTACAAACTGTGCAGCCCTCTAACTGGAATCGTACTTTTTAAATACACAATAAAAAATTTACAACCCTCTGAAACTGAGAGTTTCAACATTTGTTACAGAATATTTAACTTACACAAGCATGCTCAAAACAACTTCTAGGTGAGGGTCAGTACAGAAACAGCCACTTAAACTTTGAACAGTGGTGTAAATATTATGTATTCCTCTATTTAAATGAAAAAAGCATGTACAAATATAGTATTAATAGTAAAAATGCATTATGTTGTACTACATTAGAATTTCTATTGGAAAAAAGATAAGGTTGGTATGACTTATAAACAACAAATACACAGTATTTAATATACACCACATCCAACATAGATCTTGTAATACAGTCACTACTCACCAGAGATGGCAAAAGTACTCACTTTCCGTACTTGAGTAAAAGTACAGATACTTGTGTTAAAAATACTCTGGTAAAAGTGGAAGTACTGATTAAACTTCTTTACTCAAGTAAAAGTAACAAAGTACAGGCTTGTAAATTTACTTAAAGTATAAAAGTAAAAGTAGAAACCACTTTTTTCATGCCGTTGCCTACATTTTAAATGGATGTCTGCCAATAGGACTAGATCTCCGTTGTGTTCGTTTTCAATCATCTCGTCGTCCATGCTACTATGCTAACGCCACCGCCACCAAGCTGCAATGATTTGCCGCCAATGAATACCGCCGAATCTGTGGATTCATCTTGTAGTGGTGCGTCAAATGCAACGTAGATTCCCATCCAATTAGATTGAATTTGGTATTGATGACGTGAAAAAATAATAACGGTAACTCCATTGAAATGATTCAAAACTAAAGTAACGAGACAATTTTTTAAAATGTAAGGAGTAGAAGTAAAAAGTCGCCATAAAAATAAGTAGTAAAGTAAAGTAAAAATATCAGAAAAATCTACTTGAGTACAGTAACGAAGTATTTGTACTCCGTTACTTCCCATCTCTGCTACTCACATATGCAATACAAATCTGTCATGTTTGGCTTCAGGTTCCTAACCCACATGCAGAACACTCCGAGACTGGATAAAAGTTCAAAAGTTTATTTAGAAGATGGAATACAATAAATAAACAGATCCCAAGGGAAACTCGTCTGGTTACGAGTGGATTCTGAAATGCACACAGAGTTAACAGGTCCAGGACTGGTCACGAGTGGGTTCACTGCAGAGGGGGACAGAGGAGTTAGTGGAGGTCCAGGTAATTTGCAGGATGAGAGTGTGCAGGGCTGTACCTATACAGGAGTTGAGCTGAGCGGCTGAGGGGGGAACCTTGAGGGTCCAGAGGCTGTCGGCAGGCTGAGGGCTAGGCGGAGGCAGAGCTTGATTTGAGTGTTGGCAGATTACCGATTTGAGTTTCCCTTCCGGTTTCTTCAGAGAGCGGGCAGGCAGGTCTTTGACAGGAATAGTTCTCCAGGGTTAGGGTTAGGGTTAGTGTGTTGTGAATTGGCACTATATAAATAAACTGAATTGAATTGATTTACACGTTTGAATACTATAAGGAAATCTAAGTAAAACTTACTCTTTCCCCAAAATTCATATATTACATTGCATACAAGAGTTTACTGCACCAAAAAGTAATTTTTTTCAGTGTACAAGAGTAGATAAGTTGCTCCCGCTTTTACCAATGTACTGCAAATTCTACCAATTTAAACTTGTTTTCTTTTCTTAAAAGCCATTACACCGACCTGGCCACCTTTATCACCAAGTCAGATGTGGACAGTATTGACTTGAAGCCATATCTGGTGTGGATCGGCCTTTACAGACACCGGAGGTGGTGGCATTGGTCTGACGGATACTATCGTTCCATAAACTGGGACTGGAGCAATCGAAATTGGTGGGGAGGTTGTGCTGCCGTCCACTTTAATAACAAAAAGTAATGTGAGAGCTTTTTTCAGACAATATGAGCTTTGATTAACTTAGATTTTAGTTAAAATGCTGTTATTTAGGTTGCCATGTATCAATCTCCAGTTATGCTTACTGGGTTTTAATTTTTCTGAATATCTCTTTTTTTTTATTGTTGCAGGAAAGATCATTACAATCTAAGAATAAAAACCAGTATTTCTTTTTATGTAATTGTTATTATCCAACTTTACAGTAGGAAGACTATGAATTTGACATATAAGATTTAACACAAAACTTGTTTCTGATAAAATCTTCAATTTTTTTTGGAAAAGAATGATTGAATTTACTTTCAGATTAGGTACATCAGAAGTGTAAAACTCTTCTCGGATGCATTTAAATTCTCCATCCAGTTTTCCACAGAAAATGATGTAGCTGGTAAAAAAAAAAAAAACAGATAATGCTCAATGTATTATCATTGTAATGTAATGTCATTAGTGCTTTAGCTGTAATATGGTTGTTTCTTTCCAATCTAAAAAAGGAGACAGAATTCGATAAATTGTAGATGATTTAAACCATCCACCAAACTTTTACCAAAGGAAAAAGCAACATTTGTAATGCCAATGTGCTGAAATCCAATTGATTACTGTATATATTTTTTTGTACATTGGTAATTTACTTTGGTGCATAAAGATTAGTGTTATATTAATTTTTTTCTTTGTTTTCTCTAAAGAGTTTATCCCGTAAGTTGTGAAACTTATCTGATGTCTGTGTGTCGGGATAGAACTACCAACACGTTCGTAAAGGAAGCAAAGACTTGGGATCAGGCATCAGACTACTGCCACGATCACTATGTTGATTTGGCCACTTTCACAAAGGACGAAATGAATGACATTTTCACCGAGTTTGACTTTCCCATCTGGATTGGATTGAAGAAAACAGGTAATGACCATAGTTACAACCCATAATGATTAAAGATTATTGCTAATATCATGTCACCACATATGGCTAAACATATTTACTTAAAAAGTTATCAACATAACAGATATAACAGTGTTTCCGTGGTTCACTAAAAATCATTAAATTATTATTTTTAAATTAAGGCCTTAATTGGCCTTAATTTAAAAATAATATAATCTAAGAGCATTAAAAGAGCATTAAAAAACAATAAATTAGAGTTCCTCATTTCTATAAACCCTGCTTAAGTTTGAACTGTGGGCAAGAGACCCTCTTTGTCACTTCCGGTCCCCCTGCCAGTACATGTTTCATGCTCTTGTACAATTGCATAGGAAATAAGAAATTGGTAATAGCAGCACTTCACACATCTAAATGTCACAGATAAAATGTTATGAAACCATAAATGAAAACACAGGTATAAATAAATAAAAATGTTAAGGTCACTTCTAGCAGAACTACAACTGGTTTGGGGTCCCTATCTAGTCCAAGGTGGTCCTGCAAAGGACTGTACTGAAATAAGATGTTCCAAGATTTATACAGGATTAGCTAAATTCACTAATTAGTTCATTTATGCACATTTTCATGAACTGACATTGGTAAGCTTCGTTTTAGCCCCTGACTGACCTCGGGCAGACTGACATTTGATGTGTCCTGCCCAAGGATACAACTGAGAGAGTACAGGGTTTAAGTCTTCAGCTCATAATAGGTCGGACTTTAGACAATTGTTTTATCTGAGAAGGACTTTGGTTGTTAACTTCTGTATAGGTTTTAAATGGAAAATTATCCAAATTTGTTTTTTATTTGCAACTTTCTGTGGGAAATTGACCTATTTTAAGTGATGTTAATGTATTTGTCACTCACGTGGGACTAGAAAAACCTAACACAGGGTTAAGATGGGTCATTGATTTGCATCTTGCATCTCCAAGTGCTTAAAACCATCATCTTCCAACCACGGATTGTGCCAACATAATTGACAAATAGTCTTGAATAAGTTTGATAGGTGTTTAGAAAAAAACAAAACAAAAACAAGCAGAGGTCTGGTTGCCTCATTTTTAAACATATCTTGTGCTTTAATGATATGGCACACATATAGAATGGACATGTGACTCTCATACAGACTGGAAGAAGATAACCAGCTCTTCAATGGGCAAAAGATTGTATATCAGGTAACATAGAGGGGGACTAGATTAGAAGTCGATAACCTAAATGAAGACTTTAAAGCTAAGACTCAACAACCGTTGTCCAGAATGTGCCGGTGTACCTTGTGCTGACATTTGGCCAAAATCCTGAAGAAATAATAAAGAGACAAAAGTATTAGCACTCAGTGCTCCATTTGATACAGTCAATCACAATATGCCTTAAGAAAGGCTTAAAAATACTATAGGAATTAAGGGAACAGCACTAGGTTGGTTTAAATCTTATTTGTCAAGAAATTCAGATGAAGCTGACCTATTAAATAGAATACAGTCATGTTTTGAAGAAATAAAAAAACCTTGATGGCTATAAATGTTTTGCTTTTTTAAATAACTCAAGACAGATTTATTGTGTTTAGACCAGAGTTTTTTTAATAAGGAGCTGCTCTGTCAGTCGCTAAGTCTTAATGGCATTAAATTGGCCTCTAGACTTGTCATTAACATCCCATATTAACAAGGTTTAATTAATTTCCAGAATATTGAAAAAATATGAAATATTTTGTGCAAGGTTTATGCTGAGATATTTTCAACGGCGAAAAACTAACATAATAAAGATTAAATTCAGAAACAAATTAATGCCTCATATTGTTTTAATTGCATTTTTTTATTTAATCACTTAGTTATTAATTTGTATATTGTTCTATTTGTTTACTCATTTATTTATCATTTATTACCACAGAGTCCACCTTGTCACCCCAATACAATATTGAAATGAGAAAAAAAATCCCTCTGTTCGTTCATAGTCCTCTTTCTCCCTATCATTTTTGTAAAAGCATGTACACAAAGATAGACCATGCATTACTTTTAAACTAAATGACTGGGAGTTGAATTTAGTTTATTTCCCTTATTCTCTAATAACCTGCTGCAGTAGGGAAGATTCAGGTATGGTACCTGCAATGTGTGTCACACAAAAGTGTCACATATTCGGAATTACAATCAAGATATCTCAAATTTAATTCTGACTCGTCAATATTACTATTTAGATATGCAAATTATGAAATAGCCACCTAGTGCTGTCACTAAGCTGTCCAAAAATGTGCCTTCAGAATTCTGGGCAATGGCTCTTCTTGAAAAAGTTGCTTCAAAATGCCGCACAATATAGAAAGAACTTAACACTATGGGATGTGCGGAGAACACGAACTTTGTGAACTCGAAGACTGCTTCAAAAATCTGTGGTCAATTGCTGCGGGATAGATAGAATCTGTCTGAGATTGCTCTAATAGGCTGGAGATGTGAGGCACACTCATTTTTCCTTCCATTTTAAGCCATTTTTAAGAATTTTTAAAGTAGCAAAGTTAAAGTTTTTCTTCAACAACTTTAGGTGATGTGAACCAAAACCACTCATTCAAAATCTGTTTATAACTATTCTACCAGATGAGATAGATGATGCTCACCCTTAATGCTATTGACAGTCACACCATATTGATCCGATGTACTGCCCAATAATATGCATCTGTGGAAGGATCCAGAACTCTAAAACTACAGCAAGCTTTGGAATTCATTAGTTTTTTTCTTTTCTTTAAATATTTTCCATTTTATCGTTAATCATGAGGCACATAAATAGGATAGCATGGATATATTTCCTTTCATTACATTTGACACAGACCATCAGCTTCTTAGCGAGCTTAAGCTTTTCTTTCTGTTATAGATTCAGACTTATATGAACACTATGTAAACTGGATGGAAACTGGGCCAAGTGGAGAAGGTGATTGTGTGACCATCTCCTCACTGACCAATCTGATGGATACAAAGGAATGTGATGCTCGTCTTCCCTTCATCTGTTCCTGGAATGGAAAAAAAAGTTTTCTACTGGTAAAGGAGAAGAAGAGCTGGGAGGAGGCCCTGGAACACTGCCGCAGCCTGAATGATATTGGTCTTCAGTTCGATCTAGTCAGTGTGGAGTCTGGAGACGATTATGAGAACATGATGAGCACGGTCATGGAAGCCAACACAGATGAAGTGAGTTTAGTGGGGAAAAAATGGGGTGGCCAAGGGGTTGCAAACAGGATGTAAATACATGATTTCCCAGCAAGTTTATACTTAGACAACCTTTATTGTCATGTTTTATACAAAGGGTGTATACAGAATGAAATTTTGATGCTAATATCTTTTCAACAGTGAATGAGCAACTTACAATAGTGAAATTAACATTATCGTGAAATGAACATTAAACGATCATGCAAACTCATAAATTAGACGAGCAAATAAAAAAAAACGTGCAAGCAAATAAATGAGACCAAAATGGAACCACCAAAACACAGGCCAAGGACAAATGCTGAGCAAGATTGATACATGTAGATTGAATCCTGCATGGTATCAATCTGGGAAGCCTCCTGTAGGATATGTTCACAATATTGACGAAAATTCAGTAAAATTCTTCAGGCAGATTGGATACCTGCCTCCCATGTCAAGTTTCTAGTCAATCACAGCAGCAGCAGCAGCAGCTGAGACATATCACATTCAGATTTGTGTCAAGGAGTTAACTGATGAATCATTCTCTTACAAAATCAAGTGTAGTCCTGTTTATCTAATGCTTCATGGGGCCGCCTGTGGACCTGCTTTACAGTTGCCTTATCTCTGCTGCTTTTTCTGTCTATGTCTATGCTTTTTTCTCTTTGAACCCAAGTCGGTCTCTACAGATGGCCACTCACACTGAGCTGGTTTCTTTCTGAGTTTTTTTCCTGTTAAAAGGGAGTTTTTCTTCTTCACTGTCGCTTCAAGCTTGGTTCCTTGAGTCAATGAGTCGATGCAATCAACTGGTTTTCCTTAGATATGGATTGATTGACTTTATTGATCTCACAGTGGAGAAATGTACTTCGTTACGTCAGCTCAAATTGTCAAAGAAGAAGGATGTGCCAAATGAAGAAAAAGGTGCATGAGATATAGGGATGGGAGTCGAAAACCAGTTCCTGTTCAGAACCGGTTCTGTGTGTTCCAATTCCATGGCAACTTTTGGCAGCTCGTTTAACGATTCTTAACGGTTCTAGGCAGCGCCAGAGCCTAGCGCTGGGCAGCACGACTTACGTCATGTTTTTTACTCAAGTAAAATCATACTTGGTAAGCAAGTATGATGTGACCAGGTGTAAGTCTAGAAAAGCGAAACAAAAAAAATGTTGTCCCATGGGGTAAAGCAATCGAAAGTTTGGCTTCATTTTAAGGAAGAGAAAGATGGCAACAAGGCTCTTTCCAATCATTGCAAATTGCTTCCGGACAAAAGCTAAAGTTACGACCAGCATGGAAGGCAACTCTGGTAAGTAGTAAGTAGCTAGTTTAATATCACTGGCTGTGCTTAATGTGGTTCCTAGTAAATCATATGCCATTTCTGGAAATAAACCAATTTCCTACTTCTATTTGTGGTTGTTAAACATGCTACGAAGTTGCTCCGCAGTTCAGAGAGCGAGAGAAAGGTGACGCTCGTTTATTTTAAACCGGTTGGAGATGAGTTTATTTCCCGAAATTGTATAGTAATGCTTTTTTATTAAAAGGATGCCTTCTCCATTAGATTTAGATGACTGTGACGAGACAGGTAGCCTGGCTGGCTCAGAGGCTGGCAGCTCCTGTTCACTGCCTTCTGTTTTCACCGAGGCAGGCAGAAATAGAATGTCCCAGGCGAAAGTAGACGAATGTCACCATGCACTTACCAAGTTCATTGTTTCACAGAATCGATGAGAGAATCGGAATCGTGAAAATCTTATCAATTCCCAACCCTAATGGGATATATACATATATGTTTTTTTTTTTTTTTTTAACAATAGGATCATTATACCGCACCATTGCACAGAGTGTTTATGTGGATATTCATATGGATGCATATTAATATTTATATATATAGCTATTGCACTGGGTGTCAAATATAGCGAAGAAAAGATTTAACCAGAGCAAATGTCCGTCCAACTTAAAATGAACTTCAACGCAGTGTAAATAGGTTTGTTTTACATACGTTTTTTTAAGTATCCAATCAGAAAATCAAGCAGTGCTACCCATGCGCCACTGTGCTCCCTCAAATCCACAAAAAATATTTATGCTCACCTGGATTGCAGCCTCTACTTGTCAGGAGCTCAGAGGATTGGACCCAGAATTCA